CAGCGCAGCATGACATAGCATAGCTTAGCATAGCAGATCATAGCATAGCATATCATAGTGCAGCATAGCATATCATAGCATACCATATCATAGCATAGCATAGCGCAGCATAGCGCAGCATAGCATGGTATAGCATAGCATAGCATAGCATAGCAACTAATAATGCTTTCCTAGGGGCTCCAACTTTCAGGTAGGGTCGCACTGGGGTAGTTTGGTGGGCGAGAATGGCCTGATCCCTGGCTTCTGATCACCGCAATGGAACGCGATCCCTGTCGGAGCGGGTGGTTCCAATACTAACCATCGCATGTTTGGGCGGCGAGACCAGCCTGATCCCTGGCATCTGATCCCCGGAATGAACGCGATCCCTGTCGGAACGGGCGGTTCCCGTAGAAGCCATCGCATTTGAGGGCGGCGAGAACAACAACAACAACAACAACAACAACAACAACAACAACAACAACAACAACAACATCATCAACAACAACAACAACAGCAACAGCAATAACAACACCAACAACACCAATAAACATCACCAGTAAACAACAGCAACAACAGCAGCAACAACAACACCAACAGCAACATCAGCAGCAACATAAACAACAACTACAACTACAACAAACGACAACAACGACGACAAGAGCAGCAACAACCACAGCTACAACTACAAGTACACATGCAACAACTACAACAACACCAGCAGCAACAACAACAGTAGCAATAACAACAACATCGTTTCTCGGCCCACGAGAGGGTACCAAGACAATCCTGAGAAGCTTCCAACACGCCTCAAGGTTTCCACAGGACCCCCAGGAGGCCTTGAGAGGCCCCCAAGAAACCCCAACTGACTTCAAAAGGCGCCCGAGAGGCCCCCGTCAGGCCACCAGAAGCCGCCCCTTCCTCAGCGCCCACATCTTCAGGAGATCCCCACCGTCCTCCCGCCCTCCCCACCACCGTCTCGGAGCCCCCATGGGGGCTCCCCTTCTCCCTTCTGTCACTCCCTCTTCCCTCTGGTGGTGGTGACGGACATGCTATGATTCGATCAGTTAGTATAAATCCAGCTGTGGTTCGCATAAGATAAAATATCATACTAAAGCATACTAAAAGTTATTATGATGTTATATGTTAATACAAGTTAAGTTTTCATACGTTAAGTATGTTGCTATGTTTCCGGTGGAGTTAGTCAACTTGCTAATTTTCTGGCGCGCACAAGCTACTGGGCAAGAAAGCTCCAAGAGGTCCCGGAGATGTCTCCAGGTCACCCAGAGATGGTGCTGCAGTACGGAGGGAGACTTTTCGGGACCCTCTTGGAGTTTTCTCGGGGCCCTCTTGGAGTTTTTGAGCGCTCCCAAACCGTCCTGGAGCCCCCCAAGAGAGCTTCAAGAAGGCCCCGAAAGGTCTCTGGGCCACCCAGAAATGGTGCTGCAGCATCTCCGGCGGACCTGGACATTTTTCGGGACCCTCTTGGAGTTTTCTCGGGGCCCTCTTGGGGCCCCAGCAGGCCCCCAAGAGGCCCTCAACGGGCCTCCCAAGAAGGCTTAAGAAGCCCCCACAAATTTCAACATACATACCTCAAGAGGCGCCCAAGATACCTTTTTTCATGCTCCAAGAATACCCCAGCAGGCCCCAAGAGGCCACCAAAAGGGCTCCCAAGAGGCTCGGCGATCGTCTCAGACATGTACGAATTCGTACACTGTTCGGATACATGGTGACCCCGGCGCCGCGTCTACTTGCGAAGGCTCACCGCATGCCCCCACTCCGTTTCACAAGAGTTCGGGTGGCCCCCTGGGTCCCCTCTTGGGGCCGTCCTGGGGGCTATCTGGGCCGCATTACGGGCCTCATGGGTCGTCTCGGTGCCATCTTGGGTCGTCTTGGAGCCCACTTCGGTGGCCTCTTAGGCCGTCTTGGGGCGGTGGCCTCTTGGGCCGTCTTGGAGCATTGGAACCCAGACCAAGCGAAAACGCTAAATTTCGCCAGAAAACCAAAAGAACAACTATGGTTCTGGCCTCGTGCAGACCCCGAGGGGGTCCTCTTGGAGCCCCCCAGGGGCGTCGGCAGGGTCTCTCTGGCCGTCTTGAAGCTATTGTGAGCGTCTTGGAGCGCTCTGGGGCCGTCTCGGAGCAGCGCAATCGCACTCGAAGCTCACGCGAAGTCTTTGAATACCTCAGGCTGGAACCCTCCTGAAGGCCCTCCGAGCCTCAAGCCGAGCCCTGCAAGAGGAAGGAATGCACAAACAGCGGATACATGGTGACCCCCCCGCGTGGAAGCTAAACAAACATCTCTTTTGGGGCCTTCTTGGGTCTCTCTTAGGCCTTCTTAGGGTTCTTCTGAGAGGGTACGGAATTCAATATATATATATATATATATATATATATATAGCACAAGACGCTCTCCAAGAAGGAGGCGGTTTGTCTTAAATGTGTGTTGAATTGCTGGCCTTCCTGGAGGCTTACTAAAGGCCCTTAGAGGGCTCCCGCAGGGGCCCAAGAGGGCCCAGGAGGGCCCCAAGAAGGCCCCAAGATGGCTCCAAGGGGGCCGGATTTTTTTAACACCACTTTAACACAAAACGCTCTCCAATAAGGAGGCGGTTTGTGTTAAGTGTGCGTTGAGTTCTTGGCCCCCTCGGTAGCGTCTTAGGGGCCCTCAGAAGGCCCCCGCAGGGACCCAAGAGGCCCAAGAGGGCCACAAGAGGGCCCCAAGAAGGCTCCAAGAGGGCCCGAAATTTAGCACAGCACCAGCACCACGGGCAGCCCAGGCAGCACCAGCAGCATCAACGCCAGCAGTAGCAGCAACATATGTAGCAACAGCAACGAGAGAGGCAGCAACGGAAAGATGATCCCAAGATGGACCCAACAGGGGTCTTGGAAAGGATCACGAGATTACCCGTCGCCCCAAGATGCCCACCCCTGCTAAGCAATGGCCCCAATATGACCCCAGAGCAACCCTGCGGCCCCAAGAGAACACCGAGACGAACCCATTGTCTTCCGACTGAAATAAGGCTACCGCGCGACCCCGATTTTACTCCCAGGTGGCCCCAGAACTACCCCATGAGTCCGAGACGACTTTGAGATTGCCCCAATATGACCCTTTTGAACCCTAGTTGGTCCCAAGATTGTGTCAATATGACTCCAATGTGACTCCGATGCGTTTCTTCCTTCTCCCCTTGCTCTTGGCTTGGGCCGATAGGACGGATGGGGGTGCTGGCCATCCACCCCCTCGTCGTCGACTTCTTCCTCCTCCCCCTCGTCCTCGTCGCCCTCGTCGTCGTCGTCGTCGCTGTCCGCCTGGCCCCGTTGGCCCCATACATAGCAGGAAACCGAATCCCGAACACTAGCCGAATTCATCCATTCCCTGATTTGTATGTATGTATGCATGTATGTATGTACTTATGCAGGTGTGTATGTATGCATGTGCATGTCTGTATATTTGTTTGATTGTATGTATGGATATATGGATATATGTCTGTATACTTGTATTTATGTATGCATGCACGTATGAATGTATGTATGTGTGCGTGCACGGAACGGTGAGTATATGTCTCCCGTTACCATAATGTACGCTCGCGCCTTCTTTCTCTCTTGATGGGCCCCTTTGGCTTGAGTGATCTCGTGCCTGCAGACTGGCCCGATCGCGCTGCTGCCAGTGTTGGGTATCCTCGCCGCCGAGTCGGGCCAGCTGGCGCGGATCGTGCTGGCGGACTGGTGGTCCCCTGAGCCCGAGACGGCTGCGGGCGGCCACGAGCAGGAGGTGTGCCCCTCCTGCCCGGAGGTGCCAGGAGGTGCGGTGCCTGGAGGTGGTCTGCCTGCCGTGCGCCGCGCCGCCGGCCTGCCCGGTGGCGGCGGACCCGTGGCCGCACGCGGGGGCCAGCGCCAGCGCAGCGCTCGCCGTGCAGGCGGTCGTGGGGTTTTTGAAGAGCTGCGCCTGCCGATCGCGGGCCGTTGCGGGTCACTTGTCTTCAGCTACAGTACTGGGGCCAGCTCGCGCGAGAACGGACGGCAGTGACAGCGGGCTTCGTGCGAGGAGGCGTCGCTAGCTACAGTGCGAGAAGCAGCCAAGCGTCATCAGCCACAGTGCGAGAAACAGCCATCACTGGAGGCCTTCGATGAGTAGGTTGTTCTCGCCGATGCCATGGACGTCTTCCGTCAACATTGTGTCAGCCAGGCTGAACGTTTGAATCGCGAGGCCACTGTATCTTTCGAGCTGCTACTTCGCCATGGCTTTGCTCGTCACCAGATTCATTGTGAGAGCCTTGCCTTGCGCACCATGTTACACAGCATTTTTCCAGACCTTCGTTGACCAAGTCTTCACGCTCGGATTCGTGAACCTCGCGCATCTGGGCGGCACCTGGACGATCACAGTCGCGCGGCGCGACCCTGAGGCCAGAAGTCCAGGATAGTTCGGCAGGCGGCAGCGCCTGCGCGAAACCGACGAGGTGTGGGGGGAGGCCGCCTAGCTGGACAGTGCGAGTGCTGGCTCTGCTGGGCTCGGCTCATTTCGCGTCGGGCCCCTGCGGGGCTCCGGCGGTGGGGCCCCTCGGTTCCTCGTCGCCTCGCACTGTTTCCCACCTTGGGGGTGGCAGCAACGTTCGATTGCCATCAGGTCTCTCTCGAGACTCGAAAGAGAGGGAGAGAGACAGAGAAAGAGAGAGAGAGAGAGAGCGAGAGACAGAGAGAGAGAGAGAGAAAGAGACATATAACGATATATACATATAGAGAGGAGGAGGAGGCGGAGGAGGAGGAGGAGGCGGAGGACGAGGAGGAGCAGGAGGATGATGATGATGAGGAGGATGAGGAGGAGGAGGAGGAGGACGAGGCATACGAGGAGGAGGAGGAGGACGACGAGGAGGAGAAGGAGGACGAGGAGGAGGAGGCGCAGGAGGCGGAGGAGGAGGAGGAGGACAATGGGAGGAAGATGAGGAGGAGGAGGAGGAGGAGGAGGAGGAGGAGGAGGAGGAGAAGAAGGAACAGGAGGGGCGAGAGGGAGGAGGAAGAGGAGGAGCCGAGGCGCAGCAGCCGCAGCAGCCCGTGGGCACATACCAGACCGTGCCGCTTAGCCTGCCGCCTGCGGCCGCGGGGCAGCCAGGCTGGGCTGGCAATGCTGGCAGCGCAGGCTGGGCAGCCGCCCGCTCCTTCTCCCCTCCTCGTCGTCCGCCTCCCCCTCCTCCTTCTCCTCCGCCTCCTCCCTCCTCCTCCTCCTCCTCCTCCTCCCTCCTCCTCCTCCTCCTCCTCTCTCCTCCTCCTCGTTTTCTTCCTCCTCCTCCTCCTCTTCCTCCTCCCCTTCCTCCCTTCCCTTTCCCCGTCCCCTTCCTCTCCCCCTCCTCCCCTCCCCTTCCTTTTCCGTCCCTCCCCCCCTCCCCCCTTTCCTCCTCGAGAACGGGGGATTGTGGAGTCGCAGGGATTCAAAAGCGCGCGCGCGAGGCTTTCGCGCTGAGTTCGCGACTGCTTCTGTGCAAAATCTGCTCTGTGTCGTCCTCTTCCGCCTCCTCCTTCTCCTCCTCCCTCTCCTCCTCCTCCTCCTCCCTCTCTGTTTTTTTTTTTGTTTGTTTTCCTGGTGCCCCCCCCCCTTTTTTGTTTGGTGGGGGGGGGGGTCGGCGGCGAAAAAAAGGAATGCGACGTGGCCACATCTGCCCTCCCGACTAGAAGGATTCTTATTGAACGCCCCCACAAGAAGGATTCAAAGTGAAATCCTCGACAGAAGGGTTCCTATCAAAACCCCCTTCACTGAATGATTCCTATGGAAATCCTCCACATGTGGATTCCTACTGAAACCCTCCACTGAATGATTACTATTGAAATCCTCGAATGGCAATGGCAATGACACTGGCAATGTCAATGGCGATGGCAATGGTAATGGTAATAGTAATAACAATGGTAATGGTAATGGTACTGGTAATGGTAATGGTAACGGTAACGGTAATGATAGTGGTAACGGGGTAGCGATTGGCAATGACAATGGCAATGGCAACGGTAATGGTAATGGTAATGGCAATGGCAATGGCAATGGCAATGGGAATGGCAATGACAATGGCAATGGTAGTGGCAATGGTAATGGCCATGGCAATGGTAATGGTAATGGTAATGGTAATGGGCATGGGAGTGGGAATGGGAATGGGAACGGGATCGGGAATGGAAATGATATTGGTAGTGGTAATGGTAGTGGCACTGGTCATGGTGATGGTACTGGTAACGGTAATGGTAATGGCAATGGGTGATGGGAATGGGAATGGGAATGGGAATGATAATGGGAATTGTAATGGTAATGGCAGCGGTAATGGGAATGGTCATGGTAATGGTAATGGTAATGACAATGGTAATGGTAATGGTAATGGTAATGGCAATGGTAATGGTAGTGGCTAATGGCAATGGCAATGGTAATGGTAATGGTAATGACTTGTTAATTGTAATGGTAATGGTAATGGTAATGGTAAAGGTACCAGTAATGGTAATGGTAATGGTAATGGTAATGGTAATGGTAATGGTAATGGTAATGGTAATGGTAATGGTAATGGTAATGGTAATGGTAATGGCAATGGCAATGGTAATGGTAATGGCTTGGCTCAAGCGCATCCGCTTACTCTACACGCAAGCCTCTCCGATCATTAATCCATCTCGTTTCCATTCTTGCTTCGTTGTTCGAAATCACAGCGATGGCTTCATCAAGTGCTGGTGGTACCACACGTGTGCCAGGTACTCCTGTGAAGCACTTGTTCAAGGAGGGCGTTGCAGCATCACCTTCTTCTTTTCAGTCGCCGCCGGCAACTCAAGGTAAACAGAAGGCGGCACGTCATCAGAGCCCGCTGAACAGCATGGGCGACGATGAGGACAACCGCACAGGGCGCCAACGTCAATTCGAAGATACTCTCGCGTCTGCGGCTGGTACTGGACAGAAGACGCATCAAGGTAAAGGTGGGCTGGGTGCGACATTGTCCGGGGACGTCAGCATGGCCGCCATCGAAAGCATGTTCGAGAGGCACCTTACGTCCCACCTAGACCCCATCCACAAGGACATCGAGGCCATCAAGAAGCACGGCGTTTCCAAGGAGGAATTGCGTATGTCCCTGGACCCCATCAAAGACGACATGAAACAGCTAAGCGAAATAATCGAATTTCTTGAGGGTGCTGGGTCCCGATCGCCATCAGCAACCTCCGCAGCAGCAGCGAGCATCGCATCGCACATCGAGCAAAAACTGTCGGACCTCGAGAAGCAGTTTGCCGACCTGACTTCATCCAGGGACCGGGAGTGCAATGCAGTAGTCGGAGGTTTAAGTGATTTCGGGAGCCTGGAGGCGGCCGCGACGTTCCTGAAGGAGCATTTCGAGCGCATCAAAACACCAGCGTACATCGACATGTTCACGAAAGGCGACTTTAACAATATCATTTCCCTCAAGTTCGGAAGCATGGATAGCCGGGACAAGTTCGTGAACAGTTTGGGAAAAGCGCAGATCAAGCATCACGGCAATACCATTTGGACTCGAGCAGATGCCCCCATCGAAAAGCGTGTTCCCGAGAGCTGCCTATTCGGATTACGGAAATGTTGTATGGATTGGGGCTACACCAAGGGGGAGGTTAAGGTGGATACGAAAGATGTCAAACTCTCGATCGCCCAAGAACCGGTAGTACGTGCTCAAGTTGCGGGACAACGTCTGCAAATTCATCGGCACGGAGCTTGGGCTACATGGGAGTATCTGACCGACAGCCCAGATGTTAAACACTTAACAGATCGGGCGAACGAGGCATTGACAAGATCTTCGACATTAGGGTAAGAAGGGAGGAGGTGGCGCGGTCAGCCACTAGGAAACGCGACGGTGCGTCGGCAGTCCAAGTACGCCTTCATTGGGAACATGGGTAACATTCCCATGCTGGCCCATCACATGCGGAAGGATTGCGTCCTGGAGTGTCGAAGGCATATCCAAGAGCAGCCCACGCAAGGTGTACGATATTATTAAGCATATGCGCGATTTGGATATCGCAGTCATGTGTCTTCAAGAGACACATTGCTCCGGATCCGAAGTGCACGACTTCGAAGGCCATTTAATTATTTTATTTGGAGCTGAAGGGGGCCACCGGGAATACGCGGGAGTGGGATTTATTGTCGCACCATGGGCCCGGCAAGCATTGAAGGGTTATGTGCAATGCAACAACCGAGTGGCTAGTCTACGGTTGCGGGTTACAGGAGGTATCTTAACTTCGGTCACGGTGCATGCTCGGACGAACTTGTACGACTACGATCTGCGGCACGATTTGTTCGCCGAGTTGTTGAAGATTTACGCGATATGCCGCTCTCACGGTCCAACAATACTCATAGGTGATTTTAACGCACGTCTTCTGGAACGATTTCCCGGGGAGGAGGATGCGATGGGACATCGCGTGGTCCGAGATAGTTCCAGTCATTGGGAACCGACGTCAAACAGGGAGTTGCTAGTTGAACTATGCACCGCGGCAGATGCTTGCATTGCCAACTCGTTCTTCGACGTCCCACTGGAATCAAAAGTAACATATTATGAGATTGGGACGCGCCCAATGGATATCATTCGGCCCGGGAAGTTCGAGCAGCTCGACCACGTCGTCGTAGACCAGAAGTGGTTTTCAAATATACGGAACATCTGGGCCGACCGCGCCAGGGCCCTCCAGTCGCAAAATTTGTGCATGCGTCGTCGACCTGGACATTTGCATCCCGATGATCGCCCGCCCTCCGCGGCCACCAAGATACGAGTGGAAGTCTCTGCAAGACGCGGAAGTAGCAAAACAAAACTGCACTAACAGCTTCATTTCCAAAGCAAGGAGAAAACACTTTGGAAGTACAATCAAGAGAAAGCGTCGAACGTTGCCGCATGCATGTTGGAAGCTGGCGCAGAGCACGTCCCAGTATTACTAGCCAGGCCTCTCAGACCATGTATGTATTCATCTACGTTGTCTCTGATAGACCAGAGAAATGCTGCAATAACAAGTGGGGGCAGCACCAAGCATCTCGAGAATCAGATCCGCTCGTCTGCGCGTGCCGACAAACAACAGTGGCTGAACAATGCAATTGAAGATGGCGGTTGGCAGGCGATTCGGTCCTTGCGGAAAAGCCGGGTTCCACAGCGCGGACGCTTACGAAATCTTGCAGGTGATTCGGTAACGTCTGAGTCAAGGGCCGAAGCAATGGCGGAGTATCTGGAGAATGTGCAATGGAAGCTACATGAGGGCAACGAAGTACTACCACAAATAAGGCAAAATGGTGGTTGGTTGGACATCAACACAGGGAGCATTAGCATTGGAGAGGTGCGCAGGGCAGTGAAAATATTGCGGGCCCAGAAAGCTGCCGGCAACGATGGCGCGCCCCCCGATGCATGGCAAGTCCTTTTGGTCGAGCGACGACGCTTTGGATATTATCTGGGATCTTTGCGACGAGTGTTGGAGGCAGAAACAGATGCCAGAAGAATGGCGGGAACCATCTATTGTTACTATTTTCAAAAAAGGAGATGCATCGCAACCCGGAAACTACAGACCGATATCTGTTCTCGCAGTTGGATACAAGATACTGGCGAGCATACTTCTACATAGGTTCAAGTGTGGAGGAGTGGAAGGGCGATTGCGAGAATCGCAATGCGGATTTCGACCTGGCGGCGGCACTACTGATGCACTATTTTTAGTACGCCGTCTCATTGACGCCACGCTGGAAGGCAAGAACCGGAAGCTGTCGATCTTGTTATTGGATTGGAGCAAAGCCTTCGACCGTATCAAACCAGACGGTCTTGTTCATGCTCTTCGAGAATTTGGAGTCCCTCCAGATATGTTGGACATGGTGAAAGCCATATACACAACACTGACATTCGTTGTGAAAGATTGGTCAAGTACATCTTCGCAACGTGGTCAACGAGCCGGCATCGCCCGGGGCTGCCCTCTTTCGCCGCACTTGTTCATAATCTTCATGTCGGCCATTTTGGAAGCAGTGGATAACGAATTACGACGACATGCGAATCCAACGGACAAGAAAGATTACCTCGTCACATACGACATCTTGTACGCCGACGACACGATGCTGCTAGCAGAGAACCCGGGTGCTCTTCAAACGCATTTCAACATGGTAGCGGCGATCGGCAAGGCATTTGGGTTGGAGCTCAACGA